TTTTATTATAATACATTAAATAATAATCGATAGATTTTTTTCTTATTTATCTTACTCGTCGTTAATTCCTGTGATTGGTCAAACAATAATAATAATAATAATTATTATGTAACACCAAAGTAAGAAAATATATCTACGAGTTTCACCCTCGTTGTTTAATCAAATAAATTGATTTTTAATTTGACTCGACATACGAACAACTATTCACATCATAAAATGTATCATTCTAATGGACCAACAACAAAAAAGTGTGAAATAAAAATAATACATATGTAAAAGTAATATTATAGTGTGTACGAATAAAGAGAAATAAAGAGATAGAAATAAATAAAGAAAGAATGGAATAGAACAACTGGAAACGTGACGTATAGCAATTGTATTACACATATACGAACACAAATATATACATAGTCATGACGGGTTCTTATGTGTTTCTAATGATACACGGGTACAGCGTTATCAGTCCGCGGTTAACCTCACGCGGCTAATCGTCGACGTGTGTATACGGTGTCTAACTCCCTCACGCTGTCTGGATAAAGAATTAATGAAGGGCAATTAGGAGTAGTAACGTTGAATAGTAATTGCCGACGGACACGCTCCGGAGAGTCATCGTCAACGATTTTCGAGATCGATAGACGATTGAAATGCATTTTTCACTTGCACTCTTATTATTCTTGTTTTTTTTTCTTCTTCTTCTTCTTGCTTCTTATTTTTATCTTTCTTTTTATTGTATATATATCTTTTTTTACAGTAAAAGGGTATTATTATACCCCTTCGAATACTGATTACTATTAATTTTTCTCTTTCTTATATATTTATATATTATTTTTTTTTGTATAGTAAAAGGATATTATTATAATTTCTTTGAGTGGCGATTACTTATAATTTTTGTTTCTTATATAGTTTTTACGTATACTCAAAACAATAATCAATAACGTTAATCAACGTTTACATTATATTTTATATAGACATTGACCAACACGTATGTGTAATGCAGTCAAAGGGTTTAATTATGTTGGAAGTTGAAGTATAAGAGAAATTGTACGAAGTAATGTTGGGGATTGAAAAATTGTATAATTAATTGCTAAGTATGTATTGTTGGATTTTATTCAGTGGAAAACAAAAAATATATATTATATACACGAGCAAATAACGCAAAGTACAAAAATCATTGGATTTAGGTCGTCAAAATTGAAACTAATTAATATTAAGATATTGTTGATAAACGTAATCATTTTAAATGGGAAATAAATCATAAAATCGATAGTTTTCTTTTTTTATTTCTTTTTTTCTTGACTAACAATTAGACAACCGTTATAATTAACGACGCCTAAGTTATATATCGGTTTATCGTATCGCTCTTTCAATCATTACTCATTGAAAATTTTGCAAAATAAAAAAAAACAAAAAATAATGAATCGTCGTGCCGTAAGTTGGCAAAATATGATGACGACGATGATAAATGGTTCAAGATTTTTCCCGATTGACGTAACTACCGTTTCCATATCCGTTGCGAGAACAATTATTCGTTACATTTTTTCCCCGATGTTTTAAATAATAACAATAATAATTTTTTCCAGAGAAACATTAAGAAAAAAAGAAAGAAAAAGAATAATTTGTCGATTTAATTCTAATGCATTCGTATCACGGTGACAGTTTCTTTTTTTTCTCTCTCAGTGAGGTAGTATTCAACGATAAATAGCGTGCAAAAGAGCGGGGGCTGATGTAGGGGGTTAGGGGGATGGGGGAAAGAGGGAGGGAGGTCCAAGCAAACCTTTATTCGTGCAAATATCGTTTTTCAAGCGCGTGTACCAGTCGTTTGTAATCCGCTTATGAAGCCAACATTCGGCCCTTTCGAGGTTCGGTGGGGCTGGAGAAGGGTAAGAGGGGTAGGGGACACACACATTGTCGTTGTCGTCAACCCAATGTGTCCTCTTCTTCCTTTCTATCTTTCTTTCTTCAGTTAACTTTAGCAACATCAAGAAGACGGTAAAAGTGGTGGTTAGGGGTGTAGAGGAAAGGAAAAGGGGGGTAGGGCAGGACAGGGGATTCGACTTTTTCGCGCGAAACTAATCCGAGAACCGGAAATGATTGGCAACCGTTTAGAACTCTCGGTAAGGATTAGGAATATTCTATGAGAGTGTTAGCCGAGACTAAAGAACGTTCTTTACCTTTCTACCTTAGTAAACCTTTTTACCTTTCCATTCGTATCTTTGTGTGTTTGTATGTTTGTTATATGTGTGTTCATGTGTTTACGTGTGTTATACTCTCTGGCATCGTGCACCCTCTAACTCTCAACTCCTGACAAACGAGAAACCGGCTGTCAAGTTCCTTGACGAGACAATCTGCTGTTCTCGATTAATTCACGTGACCTAGGAGACGTTGAAATAGATATATATATATATTTAAAAATTTATTATTATTTATATTATTTTTATATTAAAAATCTAGTATTATAAAAAATCGTTGTTTAAAATAATCTAATAATATTATTTTATATTTAGAAATATATTTTAAGTAATAATATCTACAAAATTGATATTATTTTTTTCCTGGTAATATTAATATTTCAAAGTGTAAAATAAAAATGATAGATTTATTGGTAATACTATGAATATCTATTTTTCTTTTTTTTTTTCTTCAAAGTGAACATTCAAACGGGAAGGTATTCTAAACATTCACTTTGGTTAAGTATACGTATACTTAGTCTAACACTATGATATAGTATGCGAACAATCGCGTTATCATCGGAGTACTTCATACGCTCGGTTTTCAACGTTCGTACTAATGAGATTCTCGTAATGGGTAAAGCTTCTTAACCAGATGTCAGCAATGTCAATAATCTTGACCTCGCTTTACGACACACGTGAAACAAATCAAGTAACGACTTATGGGTTCAAATCTACTTACCTATTTTCTATTAGTAGAAATAAGTCGCGTTAAAAATCACACGATAAATTCCATTCCCCTTTACCCCTTAGTTGATGTGATAAGAATAAACATGATACGATTGAAATATTTTTCTTTTTTCTATTTCTTTTCTTGGTGAGAATTTTCGATAAATCTCGTATCGATCGCGTATCCTTTCGAGATTTACGATAGATCGTAACGATTAATCTTAAAGAACGGCAGACAATGCTCATTGTTTCGAGCTATACCTAAATCGTTTGATATCAAACCGGATGGATCAATGAAATAATTAATCGTTTACTATCGATATCTTTCGAAAAGGATTTTCGTTAGACCATCTTTTACGAAAACGATTTTTCGGCATTCTGTCTAAATATATATATAGCTATATACATATACATATGTTACCGTGAAAGATCGAAATTGAATAATGTTCAGATTAATGTTATTTGTTCTAATTATTAATTAGAATAAACCTAAATAATC